CAAAGACATCAGGTGTACACAAAGTGGATTTATATATGTTGTGTGGCTCTTGAGGAATATATTTTTTTTTTAAATTTCGGTCTTAGGAGTTCTGCTTTACAGCCGCTTCGTGTGGACAAAGTTCAAGTTATTTTAAACTATACGTAAATAGTTACTATATATAGTGACTCTGGTAACATACACTTAACTGTGGCATGAAACTACTGTTCGAGAATGCAATGTTGAATAGAGCGGCATCATGAACGGTGACATCACAATACCATTTGTGGCATCACAACATCAACTGACATCCAAATTTTCATTGCAACATTGTGGAAATAACGGATACCCCAATAGGGGCTGTCAAATCATAAAGGTGGCATTACAATACTATGTGTGAGATCACATGTCCTACCATGGCATCATAAATTGAATACAATTTTTGTGATTAGAGCACCATACACTTAAATGTGAGTTCCATCAGCTTCTGCAACACTCCAGCGTTTGGAAAAACGAGGAACACTCCCAGCGTTTGGAAAAACGAGGAACACTCCCAGCGTTTGGATGCAAGGTTTACAAGCAGTTTAGAGTGAAGAGAAGCATCTGACGGGTTGCTATAGGCAATAGCCTCACTCTTTCCATCTAGTGTTCATTAATAAGGGTTTACTAATAAAGCTTGGCAGCAATGTAAACTGTATTTAGGGAGTTGACCTGGCAAGGTCAGATGTTCTGTAATAAGGTGGCGTCATTCGTGATTTTTAGAAGTGATGTATTCTGTGTTGTATCCACCAATATTTATTTGTCAAGGGATAGCCGAGTCACAGCAATGTTATCCATATCACAAGAGACTACTAGCAAAAAAACTAATTATCATCAACATATTGCTGCTATACAATAACGTCTTAAAAGAAAAAGACAAAAAAGTATTCCATTAGACTAATGGCATATAGTAAATACCACTGTTGTAACAGCCTGAAATCTATCAGTAGTCGATCATCCTTGATTTCCCAGTCTGAACAAAAATGCATGGAAGCGCACAACTGTAATGTGGTCAGGTCACTTGCTAGTTTTGTGGGGGATGGTGTGCATAGACTCTTCGACAACCGGGTGAGGAGCCCCGTATAGCGTGTTTAACAGAAAAAATACATGGAAGAGCGCAACAACCTAAGAAAATGATTAGATGCTAAGCATCCTGCTGTAAATGACTAATTAAGTGCACGAACGAGGTGTGAACGAGGGCTTAGAGCGGTCCGCCAACTGATTTCTCAGGGGTACCTCACAACCCTAACACATTTCCCTCGGACTCACGAGCACGGACAGATACACTTCATCGTTCACGCCGCACACCACACATCGCTCAGTGCCGATTCCAGCAGCTGGATAGTTCTCCCTCTCCTACTCCAGTAGCCGCGGCTCGACCCGGCCAGCCGAGGACGCAGCCTGGAGATACCCGGGGATGGTGTAGAACTTGGATTGCGGAGATCCTGGATTGCCACATCCTGCCTAGTAACATACAGATTAATATCGCTGACCACACGGGACTGCAGGGAGTGCATGTGCCCATCTATGACATCACAACCGTGAGTTATACACCAACCATTTTTATTGCACTTAGTCATTTACAGCAGGATGCTTAGCATCTAATCATTTTCTTAGGTTGTTGCGCTCTTCCATGTATTTTTTCTGTTATCCTTGATTTCCCAGTCATTCTTTAATTGCATTGCACAGTGCTGATGATTAAAGATGTTTTCAGGCACTGGGAGCTGGAAGGAGATATACTGTATATGAGCAGCTTACAGATGAGAGACCAGAAGTGTAACAATACAAATTCATAGTCCAAAAGGCAGGCTGGTGACAAGGGAAGGTGTGAATATTGGCGTCACTTGTCTGGCTATACACTTTAGAACGTGTATTTGGAATACAGAAGTAGCTGAGCAGAATAGTTTGTCAGTTAAAACAATTAAGGCGGACCTGTATTTAAAGCCCAACTCTACCTTATCCCCTCCATTTCCCACTGTGACCCACTTTGCACAATAAGAATTTTGTAACAAATCTGTGGAGTTGTGTCGGCTGCCACAGAATAATTAATTAGTAAGATTCAATGTTCTAAACCAGTGGTTCTCAACCTGCGCAACCTCAGGACCCACATTTGTCCTTGGTCATTAAGTCGTGACCCAAGTCGCACTGCAATGGAACACACAGCATTGCGGTACAGAGCGTTCCAGTGTGGGCGATTGAACTTTGGGTGGGAGGAGGTGGTGATGAATGTCAACACACCTCAACGCGTAGTAGGTGCGATTAAGTGGTACAGTGCGTTAATGGCACAGGACTGTTGGATTAATGCACTGTACTAGTGTGAACAGGCCCTCAAAAAACACTGACAGACACGTACACACCAACAAAAAAATAAAAATTTTATTTTAAGATCCACCCAGTCTCCCTACCTTACGAGAACCGGAGTGGATCCTCAGCCTGGGGTCCAGTGTGGGCTGCTGTGCTGTGACGGAGCTCCATCCATATGTATACTTGCTTGTACAGCTCCCTTGCGCACCCTGTACAGGTGCCGGGAGCCAGAATGTGATGTCACTCCAGTCCAGGCACCTCTACAGGACATGCGAGGGGCTGTAAGCAATGCTTGTACAGAAGGAGTTCCCTCATGGCCATTGCTCCTGCCCACACCACCTCAAGCTGACATTCGGCACCAGGCAGCATATTTTGAATGGCTGCTTGGCGCGAGAACTGACAGTGCTGTGCCAGGGGGAGGCCGAGAAGCCTCTGACCTAGAAAAGTGGAAGGCACGCGGCGACCCACTGAACACATGGTCGCGACCAAATTTTGGGTCACGACCCACCAGTTGAGAACCAAGGGTCTAAAGCAATTCACCTATTAGAAATAAATGTCTAGACACCCTGGTTCTTTGAATGATACCGATGCCTGTCAGAACTTTAACAAAAGGCATATGCCACCCACGTCTGCCTCTGATCACTGGATTACATTGATGCGTCATCTGGAAGTGAGGTTTTATGAACAGGAAGAGATGCATAACGATTGCCATCACCTCCACTGACATGGCAAATGCCACGCAGAACCGTGAAGTTGATGGCAAGGTGGGCCTAGGCAAAAAGCAGCTGACCCTTCCTGCACCATGTGAAGCATAAGGTTGTCCGAGTCTAGGGAAAGTTTAATGTGTGATGTATACATATAAACTGTATGATTATCCATTTCATGTAAATGCTTTATGTAAAGATACTGGATGCTCTACACTTTTATTTTAAGACTATAACGAGCCACCCCCCCCCCCCAGGTTTGTATCAGTCGACAAAACTTAAATGCCAACTATTCCATCACAAGTGAATCACATTAAACTTATACTAGAGGAAATTATTCCTGCCTTCCTAAAATGGCAGTAATGTAAGCGAGTGTGCCTTGCAGATATCTGGCGGTCTTCGCAGGACTTGGCTCTCTGCCACATTTCAAACACGATGCATTTTTTGAAAGCTCTCTTTGTATATTTCTAAACAGCGCGTTCTGCATATTTTTTTTTTTTTTTAAATAACGAGAACCGCTCGAGAAATCTTCCAGCTGGTTGTGATCTAATCTGTTTTCTCTTTTCCCTCCCTTATTTCAACCCAAGAAGCCAGCCAAGAAGGATGAGCCCTCTGAAAAATTTCTGCAGGCAGCTCTAAAAGGATCACAGCTGTGTGAAATGACTACTGGGAAAGCTAGGAAATGGAACACTTTGACATAAGGAGCAAACAAAAATATATCATCCTAAAATAGAACATTAATAAATAAAAACAGTCAGCTGAATAATGTAAATATCAGAAAAAAAAATACACATCTTTTCTTAAAGGGCCAATACATCCAAATCAAAAACTCCCCCCATGATCACATACAAAAAAATCCTTCAGATATGGTATGGTCTTTAATATTTCTGCCACTGTTATCTGCTCTTTTAGGGGTCGATTTGTTGTATACCCTATAAAGCGGATTTGATTCTGGTCAGGCTACATGTAACAGCAGTATGAGCTACGGCAATGTGCAAGCCCACCCTGCAAAGCACTTTGTGCTCAGTCACTGTTATTATCTCCCAAGATCATGTTTTATGCCATCAGAAATTATTGGGTGAAAGATCCCTACGCCAAAAACTGGCATATTGGGATAAAAAAAAAAAAACATACCAGGAATATGGACATTTCACGAAGGGGCCAATTTAAAACGCGGAGCAGATATTGCCATCCTCTTTCTACTACACTCCATCAGCCCATTCAGAGTATGTGCGCTGCACGGTAAGGCCTTCAGTGCCCCATAGTGTTCTCCCTACCTGACGCTGCTCTGACTTTGTCAGGTCACATGGCCAGGCTCCCCTCCCAGCGTAACCCTTCCATTGAGAACAGTAGTGGCTCCGCTAACTTTGGAGTCCCAGAACCAGTGAAACACTGAGCACATTTCTAAAGCACAGTGCTATGCTTTACAAATAAGCAGTATTTGTTTTTGTTAAAGCAACAATATGGTTGCAGTATGGCATGAATAGTGCTTTATAAATTGACCCCTGAGTATTCCTAATTACCTTGTACACAGTGTTTCTGAGCATCCCGGTGCCACATTTCCAGCTGCCTTAACAGCAGCATTAAAAAAAAAAAAAGCCTCACTTCTAAACAGATGTCATCAAAGAGGAGAAATCTAAATATATTAATGAAAACAATTGGTTGCAATGTAATGTTTCAGCATTGGTTGACAACACACCCCCAAGCATGATGTTATTTTACCATTACTACAACGCCAGATCCTGTTTGCCATCAGTTCTAGATGTTGCAGTAAAGTGGAAGGATCCACCAAATGGACGAGGTGGGCCTTAAATGCAAATGGCTGGTTTTACACCGCTTCCGAGTTGGGCTTAGGTGGACTCGCACAGGATCCAGTACTTTGTATCAGGATTTGGTCCTAGAATACCGGCGACTATAGCAGACACAAATCCACTAATGTATATTCCTTCTATGTGTTCAAGTGAGCCATCTTACCTCCTTAAATTTGTCCATCTCGTTCTGCAGTACTTGTTTGGCCAGATCGGTCTCGATCAGTCGTTGCCTCAACTCTTCATTCTCCTCCTCCAATTTTGCTCTTTTCTTTTCCACCCCTCCCAGTTCATTGTGGAGGCGAATAGAGACATCTTTGGCCACCTGAGAAAGAAAAATAATATCCTTAATACACAAACTGCTAAGAAGCCTATGAACCTTCACCCCTTCCAGCCACTAGGCTTTGAATACAGCTGGAGATGCTTCCTGGACACAGATAGAAAAAACAAGCAGAGATGTGTTTTAGTAAAGAAACGGCAAGTAAGTTATGTTAACTGATAGTAAGAACATGCCTGGAATCACAGGCCGGAAGCCAGAAAGATAAGTCAATTGCATTGTAGAAGAAAAAAAAAAAAAAAAAAAAAAAAAAAAAAAAAAAAAAAAAAAAGGAAAAAAAAAAAAAGCGGCCTCTACAGTATACTGTACATCAGCCAAAGGGCACGACAGCTGAAATGCCCTTGGTTTTACTTGCCCAGCCAGTGAGGGGAAAAAACGTGTTCTGCTATCATTAGGTATGGCTGACCCCAACCTCTGCTTGGCATATGTGCCAGGCTGCAATAGGAGGAAGCAGCAGCTGCACCAGACATAGGCGTGCAAAGGTGACTTTTCTACTAATCTGTGCTATTTAGTTATTGGTGAGATACCGATGCAGCGGCTGGAATTGTTTTTCTTTTTCTACCTGTATACACACACCTAGCCTAGAGCTGCCTATAGAGAGTGTGAACTGTTCCCTAAAATCAGTGCTGTTCAGTCAGAGGGCCTAGAACTCCAAAGGAACAAAACAATGGGCCAAGTTGTTTTTTCCTAATCAATCACTTGTGTGGCTCTGCTTATTTGCATACATGCATGCCTACACACATGACTGTACAATAACCTGCTTTTTATAAAGAAACATCTATGCAGGAACCTTTATAAATAAGAGCGCAGGGCGGGCAAGAGAGCGAGGACGGGCAAGAGAGAGCGGGCAAGAGAGAGCGCGAGGGCGGCCAGAGGGAGCGAGAACGGGCAAGAGGGAGCGAGAACGCGAGCATGAGCAAGAACATTCAAGAGGGAACAAGGGTGGAAAAAAAGAAGAGAGAGAGACACAGAGAGAGAGAGAGAGAGAGAGAGAGAGAGAGAGAGAGAGAGAGACACAGAGAGAGAGAACTCCTATGCCAGGGTCACTGCATGGAGATGAAGCTCTAATTACTGTGGGGAAAAAAGTCTCTGCAGAATTCATTTTCCATATATTTTTATACCCAGAGAATAAATGTAATGCATTACAGCAAGTCTAAACCCAATCACTAAATTATTATCTAGGCTTTAACAAGTCCATCTAACTTTAAAAGGTGCTGGGCTGTTTATACCCTAATGCAGAGAATGCATTAAAGTAAAAAAAAGCCCAGACTTTAATACTACTTGAAGGCATTGTTGGTCAACATACTTTGTTACAGAAGGCATCAACTTTGGCCTCCTACATGATATCTCATCCATGCAGCCACCTCTGCTCCCTTCACACATGCTCTGCTCTCCCTACCGATCATACAGGTCTCTTCTCTGGGCTGGATAGGACTTCATAGGTATAGCTTGTCTCTTTTAAACTTATCTCCTGCATGTAATGCCACAGGAAGCTGTGAGAGATTAAACACATGCAACAGGAGACAGGGGCATGCTTCAGGAGACCATCATAGCTTGGAAATCATTTCAAATAATGGAAGCCAGTTTAAGGAATATTTTTCCATTACTGCCTTAAGCAAGCAACAGACTGCTGTCTGAAGGTGCCCAAAGAGCCACAGGTGGGCACCAGGGGCTTCTGGGATGAGAGGGCTTAGGGTAAGCAGTCCAAAGTGTAGGTTATGCTGCAGCATAAAGTCTTCATGGCTGCAGGATTTGAAGACTATAACCATATTGTCCCTGAAATAGTCATTTAAAACAGCAGAGAGGGGCTGACCTTACATGTGTGCAGATCGCGGAATACATGCGTTGGAAGATAAAGCAAGCCCTATACATACATTTCAACTACATGTTCACCCATTTGTCTCGTCACCCTTTAAAACACATATAGGTGCACGTGTTTCCAGTTTTCTATAGAAGAATGTTTCGCTACACCTAGCAAATTATCTCTTTAACAGGGATGATTAATATGAACTGCTAGATGACAATGTAGATGACAATGTTGGCTAAATAATTAAACAGCACAAGACTACAAAGGGCCATAGGAAATCATGCTATCAATCACCAGCTAATGAAACACGGCACAGCACAAAATTAAAAGGTAGCATTTTTAAACTGGGCCTGTCGACATGAATGAACATGAAGGAATCAATATTATGGAGAAAATTATCCATGTGTCATACTAGCCATCTGTTATCTTCCCGATTCCATAAACGTTCAATTAGCAGTTAAAAAGGAGAGGTCACAAATCAAATAGGAAAGACAGAAAGACATTGGGTCAGCTTTTTTTTTTCTTATTAACCTTTATTATTTGGCAAATTATCAACTATATATACACACACTAATATATATATATATTTATTTATTTATTTTATTTACTAGGGATGCACTGGTATTTCGGTATCGGAGTACCGATATTTTTTCGGTACTCGCCGATACCGAAAGCCAGGCAGCGTGTAAAGACTTGCCACGCGGCTTTCTGATTAGCAGGGAAACAGCCCCCATGCTTCTCAGTACTATGTGACGAGAGAGCATGAAGCCGGCTTTCTAGCCAGTCAGGAAGCAGTGTAATGATGCGGCAAACTAAACGTGAGATTGTAGTCCATCACGGGAGCGAGCTTGGAGCGGTGACTACTTTACAACACACACAGGGACCATGGGGAACAAAAGTAGCCACCCTCCAGAAGAAAGGACAGTGTCAGCACCAATTCAGAGATGATTTGAGGATCTACAGCCAAGTGATACAAAAATAAGATACATTGTTTTTAATAGCTTGTGTATTTGAATGCATTTTTAACATTTACCCCCGAGTTGGTCACTTTAAATATAATAGATTTTATAAAATGTGTCTAATAGTGTTCCCATGTTTTACTTGCCCCCAATACACTAATACGTCTTCAGAGGCAACAAGGCAGATGTGGAACCCAATGCAAAATATTCCATTGCCTCCACCACATTTAAAGATGTTCAGCTTTCATCATTCTATTATCTGCAAAAAGTAAAACTGGCTCCTCTAGTTATCTTATGAAGAGGGTGGCTGGAGTGCAAAGGTCTTTTTCATCGTCATTACAGTGATGGTCCTCTCAGTACTTCCCTAAATGACAGGTATTGTACTGAGAGACCAACCTAAGCTATAAGCCAGGAACTCCACAGCACACGTGCCATCACTAGCAGGAAGCCCTGGTCACAACATACAGTGGTACCTCACTTCACGAACGCTTCTGTTCGCGAACAATTCAGTTCGTGAACAGGAAGTTCAGCAAACTGTTGCCTCAGTTCGCAAACTCCGCTTCGGGTGACGAACACAACAGCAGCCATTTTCCCTGCTCCGACACATGGTCATGGCTTCCTCTAGTCGAGATCGCAGTCCAATTCAGTTCACGGCCAAATCGGTTCGCGACCAGAATCGCGGAATTAATTTTGTGAACCGAGGTACCACTGTATATTGAATAAGACCTAGGAGCCCTCCACAGTTCAGCAACCAGCATAGCTTAATGACTTACAAAGAAGGGAGAGATCAGGATGGATCTTTATGTACCGAGATCTGTCATGAGAGTACTAGTATGAAATGGAGAGCAGAATATAAAAGCATGCACCTTGCCATTCCTGCACGTATCCTAAAAAGGTATCGGCACAAGCAAATATATATTATTATTATTATTATAATAATAATAATAATAATACATATTTTGACTTCTTCACAGAAAAAGTCAAACTCTGGCCTTCCATCACGTGCAACTCAATATTAGCCCCTCCAAGTGATGGCCAACTTTACTGACCACATGAAGGTGGGGTGGAGCCCGACTCCTTCTGTTGAAATTATCATGAGCAATGGCAGACTAAAGAGTTGGCAGGAGTAGAGGTTTTCAACGTTCTGAAAGTTCAAGATATATATTTTTCAAAAAACTACAGAAAAGAGCAACGAACCAAAAACGACATGCAAAACCTGGATCAAGTCAGTTCTTCCGTTGTAGGGTTTTAGCTGTCATTTTCCATGAGTCATCTCCTCATTTGCCTCTCTAGATAATAGCATGTATTCCTCTCCTTTGTTCATTGTTCACTGGAACAGAGGCTAATTTCTAGCTGCAACTTGTGAATTTTCATAAACATTGGATAATGGATTTCCATTTCATATAAAAAAGGACAGAGGACAGTATATTGGATTTGTACACATTAAAAGAGTGCTACCCTTAACATCTGCCTTGAATACATTTTCTATAGTGTAGCCAGTTGTCTGCAATGCACAGTTTTTATTGTGCTTCTGTAAGGTTTATAAGCAAATCCAGACATTGTGACAACTTGAATTTCCTCTTCCCCTCATCATAACTAGAGTCTTTATCCTCAAAGTATAATTTGAAGCAAAATTATTTTTCACCTGTATTAATCCATACTCCTAAACAATTTGCCTTAAAGTGACACCAAATGGGAAAAGTGACAATGACTGCACATAGCCCCCCCCCCACCTCATGCATGTATGTATACCTGCCCAGTCACACTCCCTCGCCACCTTAGGCTGGGTTCACACCTAGGCGTATCAAATATACGTGTTTGTCGCGCATTTTACCGCGATCCGCGGGTAAAAAACGCGCGGCAGACGCGCGTTTCCGAGGGCTAGTTGGCTATATCCCAGTGGATACGCGCGGCAAATATGCCCCAAAGAAGCTCCTGTACTTCTTTGGGCGTAGGGCGTTTTGCATCGCTGTAAAATGCCCAGGTGGGAACCATGACCATAGGCAATCATTGGTTTTCACATGTTGAGCGTTTGACAGAGTGTAGGAACGGGCTGTAAAACGCCCAGGTGTGACCCAGGCCTTACTGCCAAACCCCTCACCAATGAAGCATGGCTTTGGTGTATGGGGAAACACATGACCCTCCTATGTTACAGTGCTTAGGTCTGTCTGGTCAATTACCAGGCCTGAATACTTTAAACTGGGAGGCACCATGACATCATA